TATTTTAATTTTTAAGAAATTGTTGTTTTTAGTGACTCAAAATGGTGTAAAAAAAGTTCAAAGCTTATGAAATAATTTGTGTCTTACATTAAAATTAATATTTAATATCCAATAAATTGTCATATTATAGGTATAACATATTATATATTATCTAGTATAGGTACTCGTAATGAACACGTTACAAATAATTTATTTCTATTGATAATATATCATGCCCTATAGTGGGTTCTGTGCAATAACATATATGTATAATATACAGCATAATATATATTTTGTTAGCTAATTAGCTAATATTATTATAGAATAAACATAATACTGATAACAATACAATCTGAATGAGCTCCACTCACAGCAAGATTGACAAGGATTCTAAATGGCAAAACTATACTCTAATATAGAACATTCTAAAGAAAAATATAAAATTACTAAGCAAATTGGAGAAATTCAAATCCACGGAGAGCTTTATTACACATCGTTTTTCTCGTAAAATCGCAGGGTTTTTGATTTTTTCGATGTAACTTGTTGTTACATTTTTTTGGTCATTGATCAAAAGCTTAAAAATTCAATAATATCAAATAAAACCAAATAAATTACATAACAATAATAACGTCTATTAGTATAAATACTAAATGTAGGTACACAATATTACGGAAATATAGCCATATATTTTATAATTTATAGGTAGGTATCATATTTTTACATAAACACTTCTTTTGATCCAGGGCTAGAATTCTGACCGCAGGGCAGAAGTAACCTCTGTCAGCTACTGCAGATCATTGACTTTCCACAGTGGCTTTTAAACGTCGTTGCAGTCTTGGCTCCCTCCCCTCTCGCAGTCTCGCCTTTATTACGCCTGTGTAATACGCCAAGGTGAGCTTTTGTCCTGAGTTAGTTTCTAATATAAATGAAAAGACCTCGATTCATAGAGCCAATATTAATAATGTTAATGAAGTCACCTTACTGTGCTGGCATACCCAATATTTATGAAACATGACTCTGAAAAAAGAAATGTCTTATACATCAATATTAATCAAATAATGAGAATTATTTTTACTTACGTTGATGGATTGTCAAGCTGACCAACACGAATCCAATTAGTTTTTGAAAATTCTTGGTAAAGCATTATGAAATTCTCAACTTCATTAACATTATTAATATTGGCTCTAAGAAAACAACACAAACAACTAAAATATCGTTGCCATGTACGTGAATGTTTCAAAAATCTACAATTCATATCTGTGTCACATAGTTACCACTTGTCAATATTCATTTCTTGTGTTCATTACGGATAAATTTCATTCCTATACGTATTTCTGTATAATCTTCTCCGTTAATTGTGCCTATATAATATTTTCAAATAAATATGTCATATAGATGTGTATCTATGCCTAACATGGCTGCGATGTGTGAAAATTCCTCAGCCAAATCGACAGATATTGGATGGCGATCAACGCCAAATTTCAAGATTAACCGTACCAATGATATACGAAGACCGGAACCGTCGAAAAATTGTGATTCCGAGGGTTTTCTGGACGGCAGGTTCTGTGTATCTGAGCCGAACATTCCCATACATCCAAAATTAGCTGGCGAGACAGCTGCAGATATTGGGTGGCGATCAACGCCAAATCTAAAGTTTCAGCAGGTCACCAGCGATGTACGGAAACCAGAATCGTTGAAAAATTTTGATTCCAAAGGTTTTCTGGACGGCAGGCTCTGTGTATCTGAGCCAAACATCCGCATACATCCAAAATTAGCTGACGAGACAGCTGCAGATATTGGGTGGCGATCAACGCCAAATATAAAGTTTCAGCAGGTCACCAGCGATGTACGGAAACCGGAAAGTCCGAGACACACACGTCCTCGTCGTTCATTTTGGCGCCAGACAAAGAAATTTGTCAGGCGGTTCCTTTGTTGTTGTGGTTCTGTTGACAAGATAGACCAGTAATATGTATATTATAGAAATTAAAAGGTTTTTAAACATCCCCTCCTCTCCCACCGTTATCTCACTTTTGTGTTCGCTGGTACTATTCTGAAACCGTTTATCATGTCCTCCATTGTCGTTTGTACCAAGTTAGTGTAGGTTTGCCTCACGTATTTCATGCACTGTACGTCTGTACCATCGTCGGCTCTTCGCCACCTGTTTTGTTCTGTATTAATTAAATTAATATTATTAATATTATTATGTTACTCATATTAAACGTATTATTATAAAGTATATACTATGTATTAATACCTATCTATTATATCTAGGTTACCTAGACTAGGTACCTCATTCGCTTTGCATAATTAATATATGTAATAATCCTATATGGTCACGCAGGTGGATATTGTATTGTCATGGATGTCATCGATTTTCATGATAGTAAAAAAATTAAAAATTATCTATACTAGAGTGGTTGACAAATGATTTACTTCACCTTCCGTTTAACCACCCCAAAATCGAGCCATGTACGGGTGCGCATAATATTATATGAGCAATATATTATAAGTCCACGCCTCTCCGTTTCGACTAGTTACGAATTATATTATAGTATTTACCTATTCGCAAACAGCTCGGTGTTATATACCTGCGGATAATGTTATTTGTTCTGCATCGTGATATGGAAATAACCGAATACACACTGAAATAAACGTGCAAGTGTGCAACCATGTAGACTTTTCTGCGGCAAACACCGCGTCGTAAGTTTGAGCTTCAGTGGTAGGTGAACAAGGTACTGTTAAAAATCGTGAGTAGTACTTAGAAGACTCTCCTCCAGGTGTGTTATTCGCACACCCCACACATAGAGTCGGTATATTATACTGTAATACTAAATAGGTGATCCGAGTTCTAATGTTGGACTCGATGGTGTATGATTGTACACCCCAATTTTTTGTATACAATAATATTTATAATTAATATACATATCATCAGCCTAATTCGCAATATTGTCCTAACTCAAAAAATGTGATTTTGGAATTAATTGTGATTAAAATTAAGGAAAAACTGCATTGTATGATAAAGTTGTAACTGATAAATTGTAACATTTTATCCTCCATATGACATTGATTATTAAAAATGGTCGTATCTCCAATGTGATGATTTTAACAATTAGAAAAAATCATAACTCCATATTAGCATGGTAAAAATTATGAAGATAGGATATTTGCGAATTGAGAGATGAGATAGGAAATTTTCCGATGAAATGTTTTTCCTTTCTCCTGAAAACTAGTCAATATGGAGTTAAGTGATTTTCGAATTAAGATGACGATAATATCTGATTTTTAGATGTTTTTAAATATAATTAAAGACCACATATTAGAACTTTTGAGATTTTCGTATTGCATTAGAAGTTTCCTTGTGGCGATATAAACTTCCGTTTTTAAAATGCTTCCATTAAGAAGAACTTGAACGCTTAGACATTTTAGTTTTAAGTACAAAAGATATCCAAACCTATCTTGTACCGACGACTATAGAGTATTGGTTGACATACTATTATTTATCTTGAGAGTGATGAAACAGACAACTCACTGGAGAGTTGACGTGTTTCTGCGGAAAACACAGCACCGTATACATGAGAAATCGAGTGAATATCCAATGTTGTAAAAATTTGAATTTCAGACGCTCATAAAAATTTAATTTGACTTTCTTATAGACATTTTTTTTTTTGATAAAGGTAGATAATCTTATAAGGAATCTTGTATTCCATTTTCAAATCTTAGATTTAATAGGAAAATTTTTTACGAATTCTTAACTCAAAATAATTTGCTAATTGTCGTGATTTTTCCATATTTTGTCAATTTTTGAACTTTAAATGATTATAAAAAAAATTGTGACTAAGGATTTTTAATATTTTTCATCTGCCTTTGAAAACAATATACTAGGAGCCTTCTATTAAATTTTCAACTTTTCGCAACCAACAAATAAAATTTTATTGATATTTTTAGAAAAAAAACTAAAAAAAGATGGAAAATGAAAATGTCCCTAAACAGTTCAAAATAAATCAAAATATTTTGAAAATATTATCGTGTATACAAAATGCAAATATAAACAACCAGTGAAAATTTCATGTATATACGTTCATTTCTCTTAGAGTTACACCAAAAATCAAAATCGATTTTTTAGAAAACTGATTTTGCGTACAAATTCCCGTTTTTGCTTAATTTTTATGTTGTTTTTCCCGGTGCTTGTGAAAACTACTGGGAAATTACCCCCCAAAGTACCAACTAGATTCCCTTTCCTATCAGAAAAGATACTGTTGAAGAAAATCCAAGCACTTTTACTGTCCTAAAACGTGATGACAGACACAAAAATAAAAAAAACAAACATCATTGTAAAATCACTAAAATCACTAAAATCAATACATTCATCGTTTCACTCAGAATCTAAAATAGATTAACTTTTTTTTAAACTGAGTTATGTTAATATTTTTTTCTATATGAAACTTTTAACTTATCGAGTTAAATTTATAATTTGTTAACTGCTAACTTTTAACTAATCGATCTTGTGTCCTCTTAACTTAATTTAACTAGTTAATTATTTTCATTAACTTGGCAACTTGCCCACCTTTGCTAATTGGGCATGACCGGTTTTCGCCCGTTGTATCGAATATGATTAAGTAGTAAGTACCATGGTGATTGGTGATAAATGAAAACACGTTGTGAAGGAACAAAGTATTTAAATATATAGGTAGGTAATATATTTCTGAAATTCATTTTCGTTAATAAATATTAATTTTATTTTTATTATACATCATAATATCATATGATGAAAAATAAATATAATATAATATTAGGTACATATTACTCAAAATAAGTGAGCTTATATATTTGGTACAATTGTATTTAAGTAGCTTAATAATGGAGGTATAAGGGTTTGTTATACAAACAAAAATAATTTATATAAACAAAATATTTATAAAAAAAAATTGTAAATGTCTCAAAAGAATCCATCCATTAAGTTAAAACAATACATAATAGTATTATATTATATAAATTAATCACAAGCATAATCCTGTAAAAACCTACAATTTCTTATCTCGCGTATATGTAGGTCTTCTATCCCTTAGTTGGATGGTGACGGGATATCCATTAGCACTTCTCAATAATAAATCTATTTTTAATTTGATATCATCGAATGTGTAGTGTGTATGTACGCTGTAGTTCCGCAAGAAAGTAGACATCGCAACTTTCATTGACATCATTGCATACTTAGATCCTGAATTATATATTTATTGGTATAATTATGCATATAATAAATAACACGATTTAAGACCTTACTGATCTTATAGGTCATATTATCATTACCTATGCAACCTCTTGGACCACCGCTAAAAGCTATAAAGCTATACTTATGGCGATTAGCAATATTTTCAGGATTGAAATTTTCTGGATTAAATGTCCAAGGGTTTGGATACGATTCAGAAAAATGATGAGTGCCTAAAATAGAAATGATACACGTCGTTCCTTTTGGTAGTACGAGATCGTCTGAAGCTGAAATATAATTATTTTATTATAACTAGGTGTCTAGGTAGGTATTTAATTTGCAGTTTTAATAATATTCACTCACCAATTTTAACATCGTCTTGAAGTTTTCGAAATACCAAAGGTAATACAGGGAATAATCGAAGGGTTTCCTTTAACACTTGTTCCAAATATACAAGTTTACTAGTGTCTTCTAAAGTAATTGTTTCATCGGCATCATGAAATACTTCATAAATCTCGTCGTAAACTTTATCCTAAAATTTTAATATAATAATAATATCTTTATTCTAACAATAAATGACACAAATTAGTAGAGTAGTAACAATAATAATTATTATATTATTCAAATATCTCTAAAGCTAATATAATGTGCTAGAAACGAGAGTTCGTTATTATAAAGAAACACCAAAAATGTACAATATACGTATTTTCCAGTGTTTCCGAATAATTTCACTCAAAAATCATTATTAGGTAGAATTAGGTGGTGGTTTTTTTGAGACAGAGTCGAGTTCCGTGCGCGGTTAGTCTACTGGCCAAATATATAGGTTTACAGAGTCCAATGTCAAGGATCAGTTAAAAAAATGTAATTAAATTAAAAATAAATCATTGAATTTATTGTTCGTCAGAAAAATGTATCGCTGGTTAATTCTTTGTTGATGTTTAAATATATACCTAGTAAGTATTGGTACTCTAGTAACAATTTTTAAAAGGGTAAATGCGATGGGCTCAGTTGATACTTATATCGTTATAACTTATAAGTGTACATTTCTTAGGAAACTGCATATTACTTAGATATCAGATTTGTCAAACATTTGTTTCATAATACATATCTACAGCTTAAATCCAACAGTTTTATAACATGATTTTGCATATTTTATGGAGCTTAATTAATTTTGCATATCCAAAGATTTTATACAGTTAATAAATCAAAAACATAATTTTAAATAAGAATTCATAAAAAATTTTCTTTTAGATTCTGAGTGAAACGATGAATGTATTGATTTTACAATGATGTGTGTTTTTATATTTATTTTTTTTGTGTCTGTGTACACGATAAGTAGTCGAAATAATGCTTCGATTTTCGACTTCAGTATCTTGTTCGATTGGAAAGTGAATATCGTTGGTGCATTGAGGAGGTCAAAATTTAAATTTCCCAGTAGTTTTCAAGAGCGCCGGGAAAAACAACATAAAAATTAAGGAAAAACGGGAATTTTTACGCAAAATCGGTTTTCCAAAAAATCGATTCTGGTTTTTGGTGTAACTTTAAAACAAATGACCGTAGATACATGAAATTTTCACTGGTTGTTTATATTTGCATCTTCTATACACGATAACATTTTCAAAATATTTTGATTTATTTTGAACAGCTTAGGGACATTTTCATTTTTCGTTTTTTTTTAGTTTTTTTTCTAGAAATATCAATATAATTTTATTTGTTGGTTGCGAAAGCTTGAAAATTTAATAGAAGGCTCCTAATATATTGTTTCAAAGGTAGATGAAAAATATTAAAAATCCTTAGTCACAATTTTTTTTTATAAGCATTTAAAGTTCAAAAATTGACAAAATATGGAAAAATCACGAAAATTAGCAAATTATTTTGAGTTAAGAATTCGTAAAAATTTTTCTTTTTAAATCTAAGATTTGAAAATCTAATACAAGATTACTCATAAGATTGTCTACCTTTATCAATAAAAAAATCTCTACCGGAAAGTCAAATTAAATTTTTATGAGCGTTTGAAATTCAAATTTTTACAACATTGGATATTCACTCGATTTCTCATGTGGCAATTTCCTTTTTTTGTTGTAATTAAAAAACGAATTACTGTAGATACATGAAAATTTCACTGAATGTTTATATTAGCATTTCCTATACACCATACAATTTTGAAAATATTTTGACTCTTTTTGAGCCGTTTAAGGACATTTTCAGTTTTCAATTTTTTTAGTTTTTTTTTTCTATAAATATCAATTAAGTTTTATCTGTTGGGCCAAAAAGTGTAAAAATTTAATACAAGGCTCCTGATATATTGTTACAATATCAGTTGAAAAATATTAAAAATACATAGGCACAATTTTTTTTTATAAGCATTTAAACTTTAAAGATCGAATTTTGAAAAAATTTATCAAATTTAAAATTGAATAATTATTTTGTAGTTAAAAATTTATAAAATGTTCAACTTTTATATCTAAAGATTGAAAATTTAAAACAAGATTCCACATAAGTAGTTAATTCTGTTACCAAAAAACCTAAAAAACACATACTCACAGTTTATTTTTATAGTCATTTTAAGTTAAAATTTGGACGAAATTACATATTAAAAAACCTAGAATAACTATTTTAGTTATTTTGTTGTGATTGTATAATATTATTCGTGGGTACTTTAAATTTCTAAAGACATGCACTATTATATATCTATGATAGTATCACGGTTTGTTGTTGATGTATAACGCATTATAAGTACCTACCTAATGGATATTGTGATTTGTGATATGATTAATTTGGAATTTATTATAGGTATCTATTTAGGTCAATATTTTTTAAAATACCATAGATATGTCTATAATCCTCTCAGAATCGTTTTTCTTATACAATTATATTATATCATTGAATTCAAATTTAATACCATCCATTATACAGTGACCCACTTATAACCTACTGTACAGCAGAGCACTTTTTTTAATAATGACCTATATGTATTTTTGAAGTTCATATCCATGTAATAAATATATATTGTATAAACAATAATTGCTTATTTAACATTTTTTTAGTACATGTATAAGACTTATAATGTGTGTAAACAATATATTTCATTGTTTTTAGTGGATAAAGTTCCAAATCCGAAATTTATAAAAATGTAGTATATATATATTAAATATTATAATAGCTAAGAGATTGATGTAACATTTTAGTAAATATAATTACTTACTTGGATATCTGGGTGAATGGCCAACATTAAAAGACTAAAGCAGATTGTAATAGCACTGGTTTCACTACCCTATGATTTAATTCACATATTAGTATCAAATAATGATTAAAATAAATATATTGCACTATTTTTTCTTCAAGAGTAGTTTAGATTAGGTTAGATATCTACCATCTACGTATATTTATACTTACGCCGATCATCATGGTCACAACTTCATCCTTAATATCATCATCAGAGAAGTTAGCTCCAGCTTCGTTCAATTCAAATAATGTGTCCAAAAATACTTTTAATTTGTTTCCTAAATAATAAACAATATATATTTAAGTACATTAGGTAGGTACACATTGCTATTTTAATTTTGAATGTATACTGTATATATTTATGCATATTGCAATGGTGAAATTACTCACTTTCATTGTCTGTAACATCAACCGCACTTGGTTTGTTCAATATTTTCCTCTGTGCAAAGGCTTCTTTTTTTTCCTGGATCATCTAAAAATTAAAAATAGACCATTCCTACTATAGTGCCTTAAATTTTGTAAAATATGCAATATAGAAGACATACTTTTAATGGTAATTTGTATAACGTATTAAATACATCGGAATGTCCTTTAAGTTTAAGATATAGTTTAAACATAAAGCTGAAGTACAACCACGGGGTTTTCATCCTTAAGGAATCCAATTCTGAAGCTCTATAAGTATATTATTTACAAAAATATATAGGTATCAAATTATATTATATATTATTTAAGACAGCTATGTTTTTTTTTTTTACTTTATCATTGCGTTCTCAAATTCAGTTCCATATTCTGATTGAGTGTCAAGATTATAGCCCATTGCGGTTTCTTAAATAAAATTATGGTTTCAACAAAGTTAAGTATTTAAACATTTTTATATCATAAAATACTTACGACAAATTAAATTTAGAGTTGTTGGTGCGATGTAGTCCCAGAGATCAAATGGTGTCGTTTTAAATAATTCTTTCTTAAGATTCCTAATGAGAATTTTGTTTTTCTCGTTAAATACAGGGAAAAACTGATTTAGAAGAGTGGCGTTGAACGAGGGTGTAATGAGACGACGATGTTTTCGCCATTTATGAACTGAATAAAAGTAATATTTAAATTAATTGTATTTACAATGTATAATGTATATATTATATTTATAAACCTATGTTATATTAAATAATAAATTCTCATAAACTTTTTTTAATAATTTTTTATACCTACCTGTAATAAGTGGCAGATTTTAAGTAAAGTGTGAGGATTTACAAAGTGTGTATCTATTAATAATGTATTATTTTGCCTATAACTTTTTGTTGAATAAAAAGTCCACTGGAAGTCATATATAGATAAGTCATATATAGTTTTTGTTTCATATTTATTTAATACATATTGCGTTAATTTTCATTTTTATTTATTTGACTGAATTTTATATAATAAGTAGGTATACAAATATTATAGGTATTTATTGGTTTTGAAATAATTTTAATAATCAATAAAACAACTCAATTTAAAATTCACCTGGGAAGCATATTTTTTTTGCGTACGTTTTTATATGATATTTTAAATTTGATGCACCACTATAATAATTAATAACTAGTGACAATAATAAAATATTTAGGTATTCGAATTAAATTTGTTATTCAGTTTAAACTACCGTTCAACGAGTAAAAATGTGTGACCGGTTTCCTTTGAAATTTCTACCAGTCAACACACACGAAACGAAAATTAATTTTACAGATTATACCTAACAATCAATAATGGATAAACCCAACCCCTAATCTATCAGACTGCACAAAAACGACATCCAATGAACAAACTTACGCGGCAATTACGACAGTACTCCTATAAAAGAACAAGCAATTATTTCGATGGTGTGCTTCAAAAAATTATCCAAGGGAGATCAGCAAAATAGTCCGTTCAATAAATATTTTATTTGCATTGAGAATGTCTAATGTCTTAATAATGTGACACAATCATTTTATTGTTGAGAGTATTAAAATAAATTAGTTGAATCAATGTAGTTGGAATAACTATAAAATAATAGTTGGAATAATTATAAAATAAATAGTATATCAATTAATTGTAATGAATAGTTTGAATAACTATAATGAAATTACTGTGAAAAAACTGAAAAAAATTATAAAAAAACCGATCCCGTGCGAAGGACATCAATTACTTCCCTCCATGTGACTTTGAAACTCCATGGCATTCCGTGTATGGCATCTTACCACATAATACATACAATCTCACCATCTCGATCTTCCTATATCCGTTACTTATTTACTTAAATCTCGAATCCCTTAAACAGCGCAGAATCCGACAACATTTATGTTTTATTTATAAATTATTAAATGGCTATATTTGCCCGTCAATCATTCAAAGTTTCCTCGGTTGTTACCCTATCAACTAACCAATTTTCTTTAAAATCTCAAACTACTAATATATTATGCTACTAATACACCACTCTTAACAATCATGAACTTTGTAAATAAGTAGGTATAACATTGATCCGTTTTGTTCAATTTCCTTCAACTCATTTAAAATTCATGTTTCCACTGACCTATCATGTTTACGCATATCAATTGATTGTATCTATATAATATTAAGTATATATTGGGCCAATATTACTATATTAAGTATATATATTGTAGCCTACTATACAGCAGAGCGACACCCACGTGACCACTTTTTTTTAAGTTGATTATTTATAAATATTTTTTATATGCTTTAGAGAGGGGTAATAGGGGTGTGGGGGGCGTATACCCCACGGCTTATTAACGTTTAACAAGTGATGGAGACGCTATTTTTTTTAAGTTAATAGAGTCCCCGTACTTTAATTTTGTCAAGTCGAGCACTGATAATACATCAATATTACAACGATGAGCTCGACCAATACTGTACATCAGAGCGGTACCAACTTTTCTACCTTTTTTTGCTTAAATGAAATTTTTTTACATAGATACCTACTTATATTAATTACGATGTCTATAACTTAACTTATAATTTATTATTCAATTCATGTAAATTATAAATAGTTTATTCCATATGCATACCAGGGGCAGTTAACAACCCTTCTCCGAAAATATTCTTAATGAAATCGTAAAAACGATCTTTCTGCAGAGCCTTTGAATTATTCAATACAGCCTAAAACAAATTCGTTGTTATACAAAGTATAGGTTAAACATAATATGTATTATAAATATTATATAAAGACGGTAAGTACACATAAAATAAACAATAAATATTTTAACAACTTAGAAGCTATAGTAAACTACTCATTAGAATTTTAATTTAGATACATCAGAATTTTCAAGAAAATAATCCGCTAAATAATTTGTAGTAAAAAAGGGGATATTAATTTGAAAAATGGATGTTTGTTTCGCCACAGGACACTCATTATGTAGTATAAAAAAACGTTTTTGACAACACAAATTCCTCCCACTTCAGACATACTTAGGACTGTATCAAAATGGTTATAATATGATGTTGTTTTTTTAAATTTTATATACACCAATATTCTATGCTGAAATCTAAGTATTCTTCATATTATGTATTACAAAAACTATCAGAAATTTGTTAAAAAAATATTAGAAATTTTAAAATATGATCTTTAGGTATACTTAAAAATTTTAAAAATAGAACTTGAATAAATATACTTGTTAAAGGAGAAAATAGGGATGAGCATGCTTAAAAAATCACCCTGTACATTATTCTTAACTGTTCAAAAAATAATTACTTGCACGTCCTCTGGTTTGATAACAATAACTCCAAAATATGGGCCAACCCATATTTTAATGGGTCCTGGACTGTATTTATCGTCTATTTTAAGTATTTTTTCCATAACCTCTAAAAACAAAATAGATAGGTATAGGTTGGGATTACATATAGTAGGTACCTATAGGTATAATAATAGACTATATTATTCAACCTATAAAAGTGTTCATTGTTTTACTTACGTTCGGGTGTTCCAATGAAGTCGAATGATGAGCCAATTAATGGATATCCTTTAGGTCCTTTCATTTTTGCGGCCACGCTTTCAAAATTCCGACGGATCCATTTAAATTGACACCAAATGATAACAAAACAAACAATTGCCTGGTAAACAATTACCTCTGAAGTTGTCAATCGAAAATCTCTTACTGACTGTATAATATATTCCATTCTAATAATCATAAAATGAATTATTTATCGTATATAATAATAATTATAATTTATAGTATCACAATAGCTGTTATTAACTTAAGAGTTAATGCCGACGTACCACCGCATGGAAAGGTGTAAATATAATAAAATGTTATTAACAACTTAAAATTAGTCTAATTCCATCGTGTAAAGTAAAAAGTAGTATTATTATTCATATCATTGCAAAAAGCCGTTTCAAATTCCAATAAATAATATTTTTATATAATATTAAGTGGTTGCGAGCGAAGCGAGCTGTTTTTTTTTTTGACACATTCCGGCCGGTTAAAACCTTTGCCCCCTCTATTGAAAACTGAAATGAAGCCACTGTTGAACGTCATTCCCTCTGTGGATTTAAAATTCGCCTCCCCCCTCAGAACTAGGATATATCCACCGCTGAGTTTTTTTAACATAATATTTTGGTCTACAGAATCAAAAGCTTTCTTTATATCAATAAATAGGTACTTCTAAGACATTGTTATTATTATTAATATTATCATAAATAAACTTAGTGAGTAGTGACATTAAACAATGCATGATTGGTAGATAAAAACCTTTTATAATTCCTTTTCTAAAACCATATTGATTATTACTAAAAAATGTACTTTTATCTAGAAATTGAATTAATCTAGTTTTTATACATTTATCAAAAATTGTACTGATTGTTAAGATAAAAGCGATTGGTCTGTAAATGTCATATAGTTTTACATCACCATTTCTAAATAAAGGGATAATTTATTAGTGACTTTTTGAATAAATTAAGGAATATATCCCTATGAAAAGCATTCGTTAAAAATAATTGATAAAGGGAATGCTATAACATCAACGATATTTTTGAGAATATTACTAGAAAAAGAATTAACAAAATACGAAGTATTTTCTTTAATAGGTATTCTTAAAAAATTATATTATTTCATTTTCAGTAACGGGAGTCCAAAAAATAGAATTATAGTTATGCCTACCTAGATTCGTACTGTTCCAATCCAAATTCAAAATACCATTTTTTTATATTCTCTGAAATATTAAAACCTAAACTAGCAAAGTACCTAGTTATTAAATACATTTGCAATGTTAGATTTATATTTAACAATAGAATCATTGATATTACACGTTATTTCTTTACTTTTATGAATTTTAATTATATTAATAACTAGCTAATCCCGTGTACTTCGTTACCCGTTAAATGTACCAAATCTATATGACTCAAACTTTGTTCAATTCGTTATTTAATATTCAGTGTATGGTGTTCAAAATGTATCTTAATTTTTCCGTCGCCCGGAATAATAATTATAATTCTGATTCGCAGCAGTATATTATCAGATAGGCAATCTACCTGGGGTAGATCGCTGACCCCGTGATGTTTGTACGAAAGTGTATGATTTAACTCTAAAGTATCAACGCTATACCAAGTTTGTTGTATTCCACCTATGGTGGATTAATATAATCATTTAATACAAAATCCTAAATGTACTAATATCAGATGAATAAAAAAAAACAGAATTTAACCTTTTTTAAATTAGCCTGTCTTCTACCCAGAGGTCTTATCTACACACCAACATTCGTTTTTATATATATATATATAGACAAAAAACAAAATGCAAATCAAAAAACATGCCCGATTAACCAGTAGCAATCATTATAAATTATAATACACTGTTGAGCCACTGTTGTATTTTTTTCATCCAGATTTTCTATTTTTCCGGTTGATTTTTCCAAAATCTTCTCCTGACATTTACGAACATCATAAAAAAAAATTAAGCCAAATCGGACCGACCGGCCGTTCTCGAGTTTTAGCGAGACAAACGAACAGCAATTCATTTTTATATACAAGATTTAATACTTTGTGTCTTTGTACTACCATAGGAATTATTTTTTTTTTCATTTTTACAAATTACATATTTTGTTATATTAAATTGATACTTTGTATTAAATATTTTATTGTACCTAGAACTCCCCAATAAAATTGATACATTTTCTTTGGTTTTGTATTATTATGATAAAAGTAAATGGATTTTCCTAGAGATTTCCCTATTCTGCAAATTGCCAATTTCTTGTTGATCCTTTTGTAGTTTTATGAAATGACAAGTTATTATAGGTACCTACGAAATGTATGTAAACAATTTTTTATACATTTCTGTAATAATGGCAACTGGTCTGGTATTCCTGTAGGCATTATAATATATAAAATATCAATATTTAAATTACACTTAACTGTTAACATACCTATACCGTGTATCCGCAATAACAGGGCACGCACTGTATAACTAAATTGCCCATATTATACTCAGTACTATATATAATATTATACATATTTTTGAATTCTGTTTTCGGCAAATGAATGTACGCCCTTAACCAAACTTAGGGCCGATTTCACCAATACAGTTAATCATGGTTAACGCTTAATCGGCTGATAACAGATATTTAACCAGCCAAATTTGGCCGATTAAAACTCCGGTTAACTTTAACCGTGATTAACCGTGTTGGCGAAATCGGCCCTTAGACTCAAGAAACTTCTCTTTTCAGTTATCTGTTACATTTACTTATATATTTTTATTGTTAATTCATATAACTTATACCCCTCGGGACGTCTAATTATAAAAAAGTTAATCCCGAGTGTAATATTAAAATAATAAAATTAATATTCATTAAATAATATTTGCTATTAGATTCTGGAACATTTTAGTTGATAATAGTATGTTCTGATGTCTAATAAGTAATAACTTTTATTAGTTGGTTACATAAACCAATCAATAATCAAATATTATTAATACAATAATACTATATACATTAAGATTAAATATAATTTGTTTTCGTCTATATAATAATTTGATACTTTCTCAGTTCTAACCATAGACCTATTAACTAATGGACGCGTTAGAGAGCGAAACCAATGGACGAGATACGAAAGAGAAAGAACCATGCGTTTGGGCATATCATGGAGGATCATTTACATTAAGTTTTTTCATCCATATGTATTATCAATATTATAGCCACGATAAAGATATAGAATGCATGCAGGCCCTGATTTATGCATGTGCAGGCGGTGCACCAGCACAGGGCCCCCAAATTTGAAGGGCCCCTTCGGCCTTCCTATTCTATACTTTGCTACCATAAATAAAAGATATTTTTAATAAGATTTAGTAAGTAGTAACTATTTTTTTCAAGATCCCCATTATTGTTTGAAATATATTCGAAGAATGAATATTCTCCATACTTTTCCCAACTTGGACATTATATTACAAATATATTTATCAATACCGTGCACGAATTGTAGTAGTGAACGTTCATTCTCTGTACTCAAACGTATAAAAAATCGAATGCGCTCTACTTTAACACAAGAAAAACTGGACTCTTTATCATTACTGGCAATCAACCATGATGTTACTAAACAGTCAACATTTGAAGACATAATTGCTGAATTTGCAAAAAAAACTAGAAAAAAATGTCTATTATAATTAAATAAATGAATTGAACTTTTTATTGTTAAATATTATGTATCTATTATTATTTTTTACATTTTTTGTTAAAAAAGGCCCCCAAAGTTTATAGTGCACAGGGCCCCTATTTCACTAAATCAGGGCCTGAATGCATGTAAAACACATGGCTGAAAAACCATAATATGATATTCCCAAACTCACAGTTCTCTCTCACTCTATATCGTCCCCATAAACTATAGGCAGGGTCGCAGGGGGGTGTGATATGCGCAGTCTATTAGTTAATAGGTTTATATGGTTCTCACCGATATGACGATATTTATTTTATTTATATACATTCATAGTACATACATATATATACAATATACATATATACATATATACATATATACATATATGCATATTTAATACTTACAGGGCCGGATTTAGGGGGGGCAGGGGGCCCCGGGCCCCGGGCCTCCACAAATTGAGGGCCCCCACTAAATGTTTTTTTTTACATCCAAGTATATTGTATAAAACACAATATAACATTTTCAAAACGGATTTAAATCACAACATGAATAAAAATATTCAATCATTGATATTGTCATAAATTTATAAATAAATGTTATTATTAATATTTAATAACTAATGAATTTATAGAAGTGAGTAGCTAGCTTACAAATGTGAATTTAAAATCGATTATTATGTTATTATTATCTTGTAGACTTGTAGTCTGTAGATATTTTAATTAAAAACAGTTATAAATAAACACATAATATAACTTGTATAGCAAGCCGTCCGCTGTGGACTGTTATAAATAAATGCGTGCTGAATAAGATCTAAATAAAAACAAATAGGTAGATGGTACACTCAGTTTTCACGCTTCAACCATAAAGTATATTTTGATCGTGATATTTATCCAGGTTAGTAGGTACAATGTATTTTTTATTAAATTAAATTTAGTAATTCGACGATTTTCAATCAAGGGGGCTGCTGTCTGTGTAAAAAAGTGGCATTTAGACCAAAAATCTAGACAAAACTGTAGTAATTTGGTTTGACAGATTTCAATTTTGAAAAAGGATTAAGATTGATTAACGAGATAACCTACTAGGTTTTTATCGTGGTGATTTTTAATATTCCGAAAATTGTTAGTGTCACGATTAAAAATATAAATAAAAAATATCGTTTTTTATATTTATTGATAGCACAGCTGGAAAAATAGATTTTCAAAATCACCTCGATAAAAACCTAGTTATAATTTAATAATCTATAATATAATAGTTTAATAACAACTTGTTCCTGCACGTACGATAGTAGTTAAGAGCCGTCACTGTAGGTAGAAAAAAATAGATCGTAAAAACATGTTTTCGTAGTTCCAATAGTACTCAGGCCTCGTAAGTCGTAGAAACATAGTTTTTATACCAAATTAAACACGAGAAGTTTATCTAATAACTGTTGGAATATATTTTTTAAATTTGTTTTCAAATTTTATTTGTGTTTGAAAAATTTGTAAAAAAATTAAGTGTCCGTCGAATATAACTGACTGTCCGACCAGGCGATAAATCA